TGGCACTGGGTGGAGCCCGTCCTGCATCTCTGCCTTCCAGTCCTTTCGGATCAAAAATTCATTTGGCAGTTCAGACCTTTCTTCCCAAGCAGGTTCTCCACAATCCCGTGTCGGTTTGTGGTGCATCTGATGTGAGGTGATGATCACAGAGACAGCACATGTGGATTGTTTTGCTTGCTTTTCTTTTAGAGTAACTGCACAGGTCTTTATTCTGATTTTAATCCATTTTTTCTTTAATGAGTAATCCATTAGGTCTGAACAATGTCTTGCAGTAATGGATCCTGCTTTTTTTTTAGTTAATGGATACTGTGAAACCTCCAGTCACATTTAAATTCAAATCACTATGTATTTCATAAAAAAACAAATAATGAAATGCTTGTGAAGGTGCCATTCTTTGGACATTTTTTAGTATTTCATGCAGCTTTTATATCAATGCTTTTCCCAGCTGCTGTTTAAGAAACCAGGAATTAAAAACAAATCACAGCTCTACCTTTATTTTTTCCTTTTGTAGTGGGAGGGGACTGTGTCTTTTAGTGTATAGCAGGATGCATTTAACTGCCCTGAGGATACATTAAAGGGGGCTGTAAAAATGGGGCCAGCCAGGACACTCTTCTTTCTTCAGAGTTTGGGGGAAAAAAAGGGGGGTGTTGCTAGCAACTTGACAGTATTACTTCTGAAAAACATCTGAAATGAATAAATTAAATTTGAGTGCATACATCTCTAAGATTCCTTTTATGTTAAAGATCAAAAGCAAGAGCAAAGTAAATTGCCTGCTTGTCATCTTAGAATTATTGCATTGACTGGTTCAGATTTCCTTCTTGTGCTAACTAACAAAAGTGAGTGGGATACAGTTGAGTGAACAGAAATGTGCTGCTGCAGACAAAACACCATCAGTGAGACTTCTATTAATACCCAACAGTGACCTGTTTGTTTCTTTGTTTAGGATGTAACACACCAACAATAACAAGAACTAACACGAGCACTGGAAATAGGGTACCTGAAAATTCTGAAATCTGGGCAGAATTTACCCTGGCAGGTTTCTAAAGCAGACACTGAATTCCAGCAGAGGCAGCTGGATCCACAAGGGCATTGCAGCACTGAACACCTGTGTGGTGCAGTTGGGATCTGAATAACATCCATGTGCTGAAATGAGGGATTTGGATGAACAGTACCATAAACACCAGCTTGTTTAGGCAGAGTCTGTCTCCCACGGCCACCAGGAGATAAAAGAAGTTTTAAATCCCATCCTTGCTGGTCTCAGCTGTTGTTTCATTGCTTACAACTCACTCCGGTTCCACACCAAAACACCTTCCTCACTGTTGGCAGTTAGCAGATGTTCAGTGGAATTGTAGTGAAGTTGTGGTGTTTCCCAGAGAAGAAAAACAGGTGCGTGATTGGTGGGACAAACTTTTTCCCTGGTGTCTGTCTCTGTCTAGGGTGGGTTTGTCAAAATCTTCCTTGAATTCTCCGAAAGCAGGATTTATTTTATTTTTAGCATAACTAAAAATGCTTTATTACTTTTCTATCCTCTGGCCTTCTAATTGCACTTAGGCAGGGGCTGATTTACATATATGATGACACAAAGTCTTGGCTTCTTTTCCTCTTTTAAATCCGAAGGTTAAATTCTCTGAATGGTGGGATGATGCTACTTTAGGACATGGATCCTTCCAGTAAAAGGACAGCACTTAATTCCCTTGCAAAGTACTTATTTCTGTGACTAAAAGAGCGTCATATGGGTTTGCATCTCACTATGGGTTTATGATTGTTACTTTTTCCTAACTTTTTCATAGACTAAAGTAGTTTTGCTTACCTGCAGAAGAAGTGGAAAATGCTGAGAAGGTTATCAAACAGTCACTGTAATTACCTGCAATGTGGTAGCAGTTGAGCATCTCAAAGTGACTGCAGCATCACTTGTAAAGCATGTTTGTCCTGTTATGATTTTAAGGACCCAAATAATAACCTGGAGAGCACAGAATCCCATCAAAGAGCCCCTTGTGTCACAGCCCATTGTACTCCACCATTGCCTGTTGAGGTTTTCTAATTGAGTTTGTCCCGAGATTTAAAAAAACCTCCCCAGTTTTGCTGGGTTCCTGCAGCTGAGTCAGAGCAGCTCCCAGAGTTGTTCTGCTGCCTCCCTTGCAGTGTAAGTCCCTCAGCAGAGAGATGAGTCGGTTACACGAGCAGGGATAATTAGCACTGATACACTAAAATAGGGTAACAGACAAGTTGTAGCTGAGGACAATACAATGACTCACTCTCTGTTTTCCACCTTGACTCATTTGCTATTTGAAAAGGGTTTGGATTTTGAAATATGAAAGCCCGTGTAGCTCTTCCCAGGCACACAGCAGAATAATTTATATTTTGCTTTCCAAGCTGCTTAATTTTTAACTATACTTTGAGCCTAGTTTATATATTTTATATCAGTCTTCGCTAACTCCCACAAAAGCAAAGAATTGATGTTAGACAGCTGTCTTAAGATGGGTTCACCTACTTTGCTTTTCATTTATTCACTGTGAAAGAGGTCTAAATCTGCTGCAGAAGAAAGCATGGAAGGTTTTTCTGGCTAGAGAAATAAGGATTTCCATGTGAAGTTACACTTTTCCTCATTACAGCTCTCCGGCTTTAAATTGCCTCTGCTATCTTATAAAATATCTGCTGTCTGAAGGCAAAATCAGTTGTTGCTGGCTTTTTATTTTTTTAAATGTCATTTAAGGTTGTGGTATCTGACAAATTGCCCCCTCTGGCCCACCACTTGAACAGGACTAAGCAGGTGATACATTTTGTGTTAAGCATGGAATGGCAGATTGCTGGAATATACGAGCAGTAACCAGTGAAGTTTGGGGTTGTCATCAGTGTCCATCCCTGGGTATCATTCTAGGCTTGCTCATCATTCTGTCATGGTTTTCAGGGAATACTTAGTGGGATTTTGAATCGCTCAGTATTAAATTGATACATTTTCAGAGGCTTTATGTGGAGCCATCAAAGTGTCGTTTTGCTCGAGGAGCATACAACCCATTGTATTTCAGTAGAGAAATTACACTTAAGTCCTTTAGAGGCATTTAAAAATTTTTGAATTGTCATTTAATAGTGTCATAAATCAACACCAGATCTAAACACTTTCTGTAACAAAATGTAAAATTAATTTAAATGTTTTGCACTTGATGATAAACAACAGAATTTCCAGTATTTCCAGCCATCTGGTCCAGTAATTTTTCTGTTTCGCAACAGTATAAAATAGGATTAAATGCAATTTCAGGAAGCTGTGAGAGCCTGAAATCCAAGGATCTTACACTAAGCATGCCAAAACATAATCCCAAATCCTGTTTGTAAAATTAGCTATTTATCCTAACTCCACGTTTTCATGCAAAATAAATTCTGCACTACCTTAAATTGGCAGGAAAGCTGGTGAATATTTTTTTACCAAACTGTGAATGCTGTTGACTGTGATGCTCAGCTGCATCTATGGCCAGTGCACAGAAAGGCTCAGTGGTGAAGGAATTTGGCATCAGCTGGAAATGAAAAGCTCTGTCATGACAGAACATTCTCTCTTGGGGAAGAAGCTCGATTCCCAACTCTGTTGCCTATGGGTTTGCAAACTTTGACAGGAAAGGCAAGTGCTTAGCAACAAAATGACTTTTTCTTTAATCTGTTTGGTAGCATGAAATGGACTTGCAAGGACAATCCAAAAGGCCATTCAGGATAGTGAGTAGTGAGTAGAGAGCGTTTGCAAGAGGGAAGAAACAAAAAGAAGAAATAACTGGTTTGGAGGTGACAATGACATGATTCATTTAATGTCAAATTGTTTCAGAAGTTCTGCAGAAATCCCACAGCTACTGGGGAGGATGGGAGGAATGTAGACCTGACATGTGGATGGTTAGGAGTTGGACAAAATCAGACAGCATTTGCAAATTTTTTGTATAAAATATCATGTTCTGAGAGAAGGGGAAGAATGGTTGGACTTCTTTAAACATTCTTTTGGCTAATCAGACAATGATTCAGTCAAGCATTTCAAAATACATTATAAAGCCTTAAATATGAATTATGGGTGTCCTCTTTACTTGCTTCTGCTTGTCATTTAGCTTTTCTGCTACCTCTGACCAAGATGGGATGATACTTGCATGAGACCTACCCAGAAATTTTCTGAATAGCATATTGTTGTCTCCTGCCACAGATCAAATGTATTTCTTTCAAGTTTATAATGGGAGTGATTTTTTTACTCCAGTACAGTCCAAAATAGAAGTAATCTGTTTGTTTTTTTTTTCAAAAGAACAGAACAGCCTTTAGTCATTAAAAATACAGAGGGGATCAGAATAAACCTACCTTGTTTGTACCCCATACTAGATAAATGTTAATTCATGTCATTCTGAGCTGGACTCTTCTTGCAGGTGTCAGCCTTTCCTGGCTGCTCTCATCTTTCTTGCCCTCTTCTTATAACTCACAACCTCTTCTGCTTTATTAGATTTCTTTGATGTATCTGGCTCTGTTCCATCTGTCTTGAGCAAAGATTACAATTTACCTTCTCATGTGTGTTTTTTATTTGTCTTGCCCTTTTTCTTAAGGTCACTGGCCTTGGATAAACTCTCCTTAGTGAATCTTCTTCATGTTAATTGACAAATACAGCTCCACTGTCCTTGCCTTTTAATTCACATTTGAGTAGCATCATTCTTTAGGCAGGTACCTAATTTTAATCTGCTGCCTCTGAACTGTTCCTTCTCTCTGGCCAAAGGAGTAGTGAGATGACAAGCACACCTTGCAGTGAGCATAAAGAAGTCAAAGTCCAGTAACCCTAAACAGAGGTGGTGGAGCAGAATGAAGTTTTACTAATTATTTGTTACTATTAGAATTATTTACTTCTGTTTACTAATTAATTGTTCAAAATGCAAGTTCAGGTAAACAGTTTAGTTTTAATTTAATGCTGCATGTAAAGAATGAAGGTAAACGTGACACCTGTAAACTGCTAACCCAATACACACTCTCTCTCCCTTTTTTTTTTTTAACAGGCATTAAAGCTGTATTTGCTGGGCATTACCACAGGAATGCTGGAGGGTCCTACAAAGGACTGGAAATGGTGGTTTCATCAGCTATAGGATGTCAGCTGGGAGAAGACACGCACGGGCTTCGGGTGGTGGTGGTCACAGAGGAAAAGCTGGTTCACAGATATTACAGTTTAAATGAACTGAGCAGCCAAGGCATAGAGAAAGAGCTGCTGGATGTGCTTGCTAAGCAAAAGTAAGCTGTATCAAAGGGGTTTTTCCATATTAGATAAATATAAACAGTTTTATGAAGTTTCCCCAAGCTAAAATACAGGTTCCTGACTGCACCGTGTCCCAGAACAGCTCTCAATTTGTTGTCCTCAATAACAAGAAAGTTGTTGATGTGTTTTTCTTTTTGAAAATGAGACCTGTGAGGAACATGGAAGAAGAGCAGAGCTAATATGGTGATGTGTCACTGAAAAGTACTGCTCTGAGAATTTTCATCTCAAAAAGGTTTGAAATCAGCAGATTCCCACTGACTTTAAGCAACCTCCAGATCATTCCGTGTTACCTCCGTGTTGGATTTTCCCCCATTTCCCAGGCTTTACTTTCTTAGCTCTTTGGAGCCAGCAGCAGTAGGAGAACAAACACATTCTGCTTTGCACTCACAGCTTGGGGTTCTGTTATATCCATTATAAGGTTTCATATAATGTTACATAGTTCTATAGTTTGTGTTATATAGTTTTATACAATGAAAAGTCTATAAATGAGGCTAATACAGACATGCCACTGACAGCAACTAAATGTGAAACAACTATTTTCATTTTGAAATTTAACTACCATTCAATTAGCATATATTCTTGCTACAGAAGTTGGAATAATTGCATGGGGAGAATGTTCTGTACAGAAGGCTGTTGTCAGAAGTCATTTTGTTGAATCATAGACAAGAGGAGAGCATTGATTTCCAAATGCAATGTAGAGTGCCTTCCTGTAGTATTAGAGAATATTGAAAACCCTAAAAAATATATTTTCTTCATTGGAATAAGTCATTAAAATAAATTCTGTAAAAGAAGTTTATGTGCTGCAATCCACCTCTTTTTTTAGCAAGTGTATGTGATTTGTTTAAAAAAAAATCCTCATGTAAGTAACTCATCCCTGTTTTTATTTTTGAAGTATTTAGTTGAACACATTACAGTCCATGCCATAGGTTATCTGGAATTAGAGCTGGTGCAGCTGTGGCACCTGAAGAGGAGGAACACACTGAACATTACTTGTGCTGCCTGAGCAGTGGTGCATTCTAGCAGGTTTTATGCATACTCACATACAAGAATGTTCCCTAGAGGGTATTACAGGTATTTAAATATGGTGAGAGGTATGAAATGCTGTGCTGAAGAGTCAGTTTAATTACATTTTAGTCACAACAGTTTATCTCAGAGGCTCCTTCAAGCCTGATTTGTGGGACTCCTGAGATTGTGAAATCACCTGTGTAGCATTGCCTTGTACCTGCAGCTGGACAGGGCCAGAGGGGGACTGTGGTCCCAGGACAGCAACCTGAGCACAGGGAATGTTTGATCCAGAAAAAAACAAAATGATTTTGCTTTTATTCTCCACCTGGTTTCACTTAGTTGAATGTTTTCACAGTCTCATTTTCAGGAGAACCATGTGGAAAATAAGAGAATGTTTTCACTGCTCATATAGTACAGTCAGGGGGAGGATTTTTAACCATGGTGTGTGGCTGGACATTCCTGTATGAAGTAAAGACTTAAAAAATAAACTAGGAATGCTTTTTTACCAGCATAAATGACAAATTCTGTTGCATCACTTTTTTTAGGGTAATTAGCTAATGTAGAATTAATACTGATACCTTAGCTAATTTGAAATGGCAGAGGTCCTTGTTGTCACCATGCCTCATGTTGTTTATGCCAAGAAAAATAACATATATTATGTTAAATTATGAAACAATTCACCCATGGAGACCCTAATTATAATTTTAAAAACCATCTTTTGATGCTGAGGACATTATTTTTGTACGTCCAGCAGGGTTGGTAATTGAAGCTCTGTCAGTGTCAGCTTATGACTGACCTTAAAGCAAGATGTCACTGGAAGTTCCAAGTGCTGGTGAAACAGAGAGCAAGGGAGTGGACTCAAGGCTGGGCAGAGAGGAGAAAAATCCAGTGACCACAACACATTGGGGTTTCTTTTAGGCCTCTAAAAGGATGAAATAAACCTTGATGACTAATATTAAATGTGGAAAATTCATATTAGAACACCAGAGCAACCTGTGAAAGTAATCAAATACTGCATAATTAAGTACGCTCTGAGGCAGGAGCATGAGGCAAATGACTAAAAACAAAGTCTTTGAGAGAAGTCTTGGTTTGTAAGCAACAAATAGAAGAACACACTGCTGCTGGACCTTTCCAAAAAGTCAGTAAGACTTCAGTGCACTGTTTGCTACCACTACCAAAATAACATCCAGCTGATGGGCAAATTCCTCAGGCAAATATGAGACATCTACTAGAAAGAGCTAATACAGGAAAGCTTTCCAAGGCCAGATGTGTAGGGCCCAGCATGGGCCTCTCAGAAGGCAAACAGCCACATGGCAGCTCCCACAGCCACCACATGGAAGTTCATTCCAACAGCAGCTTGGGATGGATGCTGGCAGCTTCACACAGCCAGCAGCAGGCTCACAGCAAGGAGGGCAAACCATAAAAGATTTGTAGGGCTTCTTTGGAAAAGTTTTTTGGATTATCTGGTTTGGCACTTAAAATTAGTTCCTTTTATTAGGGAGGGAGGTGTCATGAGTAGTTTGCACCCATTCTAATCCTATTGTCCCTAACATAAAGGGGTTTATTAATTGTTACTCAGGCAGAAGATTATGTGAGTCAAAGCTGATAAATGCAGGCACTGTGCTCTTGGACACAATTTCATTGGAAAATGCCCCGTAAATAAATTGCAAAAGTAAAATATATTGTAGAGAAAAAGCATTAGACCAGAATGTTAAATGAACCTGCAGTCCAAATGAAGTACAGCTAAGCAGCATCAGATACAGAAAGGGGAAGGGGGGGGGCAGAAAACCCCCAAGAATACACACAGAACTAAGGCAACACAGACAAATTAAAACCTTTTCAAGCGATACAAAAACATACCCAGCACTGCTCTAAAAAAAAGAAAAAACCCATAACCACAGCCCACAACTCAGAGAGCCATTACTTTTTTTTAATTGACATTTTCATTTGTTTCTCTACAAGTAATTTCCTCCATTAGCACTTTGTCAAATGCAGGTAGTTTAGTACATTTCTACTAATAAACACCTTATTTTTTTTCTCTTGGAGACCCATTAAAGCCTCGTCCTATTTAAATTTATAGTGGTATTATTTCACTTTTGGGTAGCCAGAAATTGGAACATCTGTCTTGTAAATATATCCCTGTCTTTCTTGAACATTGCTTAGAAAGGTATAGCATTGTTAAAAAACACAATTTGGCCTTTTAAATTAACTGGTAATGGCATTATCTATGTATATTCAAATCTTTCTCACTCTTCTCCATGTAAAAAAGGCACAGCAGTACAGGAAGGTATCTCATAGTGCTCTAATGAACCAAGATCAGAGCCCTTCACAAGCCAACCTGCCTGCCCAGAGATTTGCTGAATAACATGTCAACAGCACTCCAGGTAGGAAAGCAGTGGCTTGGATTTGGATACACGTGAGACAAAGATAATATTACCACAGGAGAATGTGGGTCCTCCAGTTCACTGCAAGCACGGAAGCCAAGAGGCTGCTGACAGAACACACAGCACAAAAACAAAGCCTGAGCTGAACTTAGACCAAGACTTAGAATTAATAAAAGGCTAAGACTGTCATAGCCAATGAGGAGGAGGTGGAGCCCCCTCACTTTGCTTCAGCTGTATAAAAGCTGATGTGCAGCCCTCACTGGTCTGACAATTCATTTCCACTCTCTCTTCACAGTGAGAGTGCAACAGAGATGGGACAGGACATCTTCCCTACCATCACCACTCCCTTTGACTCTTTTTCTTCCATTTTTTCCAAGCTGCAGAAAGGAGTCACCATTCCCACCAGGTGTCATTCCAGCCATTTACTACAGCAGGAGCAGGTCAGGAGCTGATACAATCATCATACATGTACTCCATGTCTGTGGAGCTCCTCACTCTGTGTCCTCTGCCAGCATCCCCTTGAGGCTCTCACACACCCGTGGCCTTACCTCATACATTAAATCTAAGAGAGGATGGATTAGACTCAGTGCAGACAGGTTAGGGCAGAATTCAACAGATCAGGGCCTGAGCTGTCACCCCACAGAACCAGAACATGAAGAGGTGGGTGAGAAATGAAGCTGAACTGGGAAGCAGCTCAGGACGTGCTGCTGGCCACCTTCCTCGGCTGAAGTTGGCACCATCCTCTCCTGGCACTCTTGAGGTGCATGGGGTGCTCCTGCAGACCATTTGCTTCTCTGCCTGTGGCATTTGTCAAACAGATACTCCCAGCAACTCAACATCAACAAATGTTCACTGTTAACAACATAAACACGGGTTGATATTGTACACTCACATGAACCACAGAGGCAAGTTCCCAACTGCCCTGAGGTCACTGTTCAGACCAGGACAAGGATCCTTACAGCTCCACAGATCCCATCACACCCTTCTGAGTGTGCACACACTCCAGGCAACTGATCCACAGCATTCCACAGCTCTGGCTTCCAGGGGAGCAGCTCTGACTGTCTCCAAAGCTTTAACCAACCTATGGAATTGTTGGAGCAATTTGAGATACAACGTGACGTAGCACACGAGCTTTGTAGAGCAGTATTGTCTCCCCCTCCATTCTTAGTCTTTCTATTCCATTCTTAGTCCTTCTATTTTGATTAAAAAGCATGTTTAGGAATATGATGACTGTAAAATGGTGTAAGATTAATAATTCCAATTTATTTCATTTTCCCATAGTCCCTTACAGAAGGTGAAGTGTTCATTACCAAAGATAAACTCCAGCAATGACTGGGATTGCTGTCCTCATTCAGTGCATTTCAGCATATTTTTTTCAGACTGCAGATTTCTACATTGTTTTTTAAGTTGTTCTACAATACAATACCATAAAAAACAAGAGTAAGGAAGAGGATCTATAATTCATGAAAAATATTGGGATTTATCAGTACACTGCCTCAATGCAAGAATGATTACAGCTTCTATCACTTTTCCAAGAAAGCAAGGAAAGAGAAAGAGCAATAACAGAGCGTGCTGTCTGTTAACTGTGACCCAATTTGAGAGTTGAAATACACCAATTATTGTTCAGAGAGCAGCACTCCTTTTCACTGTGCAGCAATTTAACCTGGACAATAAATGCATATTGAAAATTCAATTGATTTAAAATCACAAATGTTGCCAATCTTCCCAATCAAAGGACTTTTTGTATTCCCTTTTTTTGATACAGTACCATGATGGATAACTGTGAAGAATATTTTGTAAAGTCTCTTTCTGAGCCCTGTTTTTAATGGAATTTTGTTTGCTGCGGGTAAACACAGGAGGTAGTGGTTTACATGTGATCATTCAAAATTAATTCTAAATTTTACTGCCTGCACTTTTAATATAAATTAGTCTGCATTAAAATCAGACTTCAAGACAAACTAACAGTTTGACAAAAACAGAGAAACATGGATACTTACCAAACAGATCAAAAAAGTGACAGGACTATGTTAAAATTCACCTCCAGTAAGAACTGAAGGGACTTTTACAAATTTATTGTTTCACTGTTTTTCTTATCTGTGCATTAGGCTGTGTGGAAGTTTCCTATTTTTCTTCTAGAAAAGCAGCTCATTGAGTTAGGTTATTTCTAAGCCCTCTATTATCAATGCAGATATCTAATGCCTCTCCTTATCCAAAGAAACAATGCAATCCTCATTTATTTCTCATTAAAGATGCATTGTACAACTAATCAGCTAAAGGTATTTTACTTGAAGCTTTTGAAGTTTATTTTTAAGTCTTCAACATTTTAATTGCTTTGCTTTGCCCTTGGGTTCCCAGAAATTAAAATATAAACACAAAACTTCCTGTGGAAGTAAAGTTAAACC